CCAAGCTATTGGATTGTTGGCTCTAGTGCTTTTTAATGTATTTCACCTCTAATTTGTAGAATTTTTCAATTTATAACAACTATGGAGGAAATAAAGACATCATCATCAGTAATGACATGGAATCTCTAATACATACATTGGTTCCACAACATTTAATTCAAACACACACTTGATGATGTTTTGTGTAAACCTCGCATAAAAGAAAATCTGATCTTTGACTCTCAATTCTACAAACATAATAATACTTCTATTGAGTCCTTTCCTAACTCATTTTTGGTAAAAGATCTAAGCATGGGGGCACCTTTTGTTCAAGGCTATAGTAAATACAACATCTATGAATACCCATTAGTTTCATAAATCACGCAACCAATCACTCTTGCATTCTTGCTTTAGTTGTTGCTCCAATCGATGTGTGGCATTGCCGCCTTAATCATCCATCATCCTTCATTCAATAATAACTTATTTTTTATTACTCCCTTCCAACTTCTAAGTCAAGTAGAATTGTAACTCATTATGATACTTGCCTTAGCAAATAAAAGTTACAAACTCTTTTAGAACATCCTCTATATTCTGCTCTAGAACATTTAAAATTATTTATATTAATATTTGGGGCCCTGCCCCAACTACCTAATTTGGCTATTTTAGATTTTTTATCATTTTCTAAAATTACTTCACTAAATATATATTACTATACCCTCTCAAACATAAATGTGAAGTCACTATAACCTTTATCCATTTTAAAATAGTGGTCAAAAATTTCTTCTGGTCTACTATTACAATAGTTTGCTCTGATAAAGGAGGTAAATACTCAGCTCGGACAACTTATATCTTATCCTATGGTATACAAAATTTTTAAGTTACTACCATGCACCCCTTAATTAGTTAGCTCTACTGAATGAAAGTATCGATATATAGTTGAAACTATTTTTACTCTTTTACACTAAGCCTCTATGCCACAAATTCCTTTTATCAATTACCTTTCAAACTATAATATATCTCATTAACCCCATGCTTACCTTAATTCTACAACACCAGTTACCATTTGAAAAATTATTTTATAAAACTTCAAACCTTCAAAAACTAAATGTATTTAATTATTTGTGTTATCCTTGGCTACTCCCCTATGCATCATATAAGTTAACACTAAGATCCAAGCATTGCATCTTCATTGAGCATTCCATTGACGATAATATGTTTCAGTGCTATAATCCTCAAAATCAAAGGGTTTCTGCATCACATCATATTATTTTTGTTGAGTTCATCTTTCTATTCCAAAATTTTGCTCCTTCAGCAGTTCGAGCCACTACAACAATAATACATCACTGAGTTCATATGAGTATATCTTAAATCTCCTCAAGTGCACCTCTCACCTCTCACCACATTAAGCAGCACCTTTGTAACTTCTCCATCTCCTCTACTAAATCACTTTACAATAGTCGATTAAGCAATGCCCTCAGCACCACAAATGAGATCTTGAGATCTTTATACTCTCCTAGTCCAAGTGACACTAAAGTACATTAACCTGATCAGGTACGAGTTGTTAACTATTCAATAATTCTCATATCTCCAACGCAACCTAATAATACCACATGATAATAAACTTTAAAAGTAACATCTTAAAATCATGTCAAATTTTTTATCTTT